CCCCCCCCCAGGATTCCCGGGAGATTGGGGCGCTCTGAGAGCCTCCGGGTGCCCGAGCGACGCCGCTCCCAAAAAATGGGGGGCGGGGGGCGCCAGCCCCCCCCCCGCTCCCGCAGCAACGTCGACCTGCAGGGACCCCCCCCAACGTAGGTCCGGGGGGGGAGGGGCGTGGGGAGGAGGAGCCCCCTCCCCAGTTTGGGGGTGGAGGGGGGGAAGCAAACCCGGGATTGGTGTTAACCCCCCCCCCACCTTGCCCCCAGTTTGGGATTTGGGGTGAGGCGCCCCCAGGCTCAGGGTGAGACCCCCCCCCCCAATTTGGGGTTTTTTGGGGGGGGGGGGGGGGGTTTCGCTGCAGGATGATCCCCGGGGGGGGTTTTAGTGGGAGGGGTCTCTCCAGGACATAAACCCTTGGCGATTTTGGGGTGGGGGTCTCTCCCCGCCGCATCCTTGACCCCGAGCCGTTTCTGCCGGCCCAGCCTGGAGCCGGGGGGGCCCGGGGGAGGAGGAGACCCCCCGCCCTTTCTGCCTCGGCAGCCTGAGGAGGCTGTGCCGCGCCTGGAGCCGGAGCTGGAGCAGGAGCCGCCGGCCTGGCGGGAGCTCGCCGACCCCGCCGCCCTCCTCAGGCTGCCCCAGCGCGAGGTGCGGCGCCAGGAGGTCATCAACGGTGAGCGGCACCCCAAAAAAAAAAACCACACACCCCCGAACCCCCCAGAACCGTCCCCGACAGCCCCGCCTCTCCGGAACACCCGGAACCGCACGACCCAAAAAAAAAAAAAATCCCCCTGCTCGTAATCGCGGTGAGGAAGGCGGGGAGGGGGAACCCCGAAATTGGGACTGAAATGTCAAGGCTGGGGAACCCCCCCAAATTCTCCTCCCCCCCCCTCCCCCGGAGCTGCTGGAGCTCCCCGATTCTCCGCCAGACCCTCTCAGGAGCGCCCCCAAAGCCCCTCCAGGTGCCCTCAAATCCCTCAGGACCCCCGAGACCCCCACCCCGATCCTCACAGAACACACCCACTCCTCCGGATTCTGCCGGAGCTGCCTGAACCCCCCCGCCCCCAAATCCCTCTGAGCCCCTCCCGGACACCCCTGAGGACCCCCCCAAAGACCCCAAGACCCCCCCCCGGTTTTTGCAGAGCTGTTCCTGACGGAGCACGCCCACGTGCGGATGCTGCGGGTGCTGCTGGAGCTCTTCTACCAGCCCATGCTCCGGGACGGCTTCTTCGACGAGCAGGAGCTCTCCACCATCTTCCCGAGCCTCGAGGACCTCGTGGAAGTTCACAGTGAGGTCCCGGGGAGTCCCCTGGGGA